AACTCATGGGCTGAGATAAAGACAGTTTAAGAGGTAAAGCAAAAGCCACGCACGCAAGCAAAGCAAAACAAAGAATTCATTCACTACGTCCCATCAGCAGGCAGGTGTTCGGCCATCTCCAGGAAAGCAGGGCTCCATCACGCATAACAGTTACTTGGGAAGACAAAATGCCATAACTCTGAACGTCCCCCCTTCTTTCTTCTTCCCCCAGCTTTATATACTGAGCATGACATCACACGGTATGGAATATTCCTTTGGCCAGTTTGGGTCAGCTGTCCCAGCTCTGTACCCTTCCAACTTCTTGTGCCCCTCCAGCTTTCTTGCTAGCTGGGCATGAGAAGCTGAAAAATCCTTGACTTACTATAAACACTACTTAGCAACAACTAAAAACACCAGTGAGTTATCAACATTGTTCTCATACTAAATCCAAAACGTAACACTATATCAGCTACTATAAAGAAAATTAACTCTATCCCAGCCAAAACCAGGACACCGAGTTTCTTCATAAGAGGGAACTCAGAAGAAAGTTTTATCAGTTGTTATGTTATTCAGCATCAGACTGCCTAGGGCTGATCAATTAATTCCCTTTTTTCAAACAATGAATCAAATAGGACTATTTGTTTAAATAAGTGATGGGAGAGCCTTCAAAAGGCACAAAAATCAAAGAATTGTGAAGCCTGATGAATGTCTACCCTTATATAATACTTATTTCTAAAAAGCTGTACTGTGATGAGCAGCACAAGGTGCTGATGTAATACAAATACTTAAGTTCCAGAAAGGGTAATCTAACAGATATATAAACCAGGAAAATAACAAAAGGAACAGATTCTTTTCATCTTTCTCTCTCAAGGAGTTCCAGTTACATTAAATTTTGCAAAAGGATTAGAAGATTACTTCTCCCTTTTGTACCCCAGGAGCTGTACAAAACTAGGAGTGGAGCCAAACATTCTACCTATTTTTAAGAGACATGTTGTGGGGTTTTTAATGTTTCTTTCCCCTCCAAAACCACATTGCTTTTTAAGCGACTTCACCTGGCAGGCTGACTGGAATTTCTATCTCCAGTATTGCTAGTAAAACACCAAGGGGGTAAGATTGGTGAATTTAACACTTTATTTTTTAAAACAAAAACAAACAAACAAAAACCCCACCAAAAGCATGCACACAAAGTGTGCAAAATCCAAATGTTGAACTTTTTTCAAGCTCCAGCTGCATCAAGGGAAAAGCAGACAACGTGCCTGCAAACCATGCAAACACCACCCCATCTTTTCTTCTCATGTATCTGGAGGAGGACATTCACTGAAGCATTCTTTAAAAAAAGTCCTAAACAACTGTAATTTATGGGCAGAATATTACATCTGACATGGCAGGATATGGCTTCCTTAGCAAACTTAATATAGCGATAAAAGCAATAGGAGTACATTCAAACACATAAAACCTGCAGGCTTGCTCTTAATTTTATCTATTGTAAAACTCAGAATTTGCAGGGGCCAGCTATGTTCATTTCCTTTTTGTTAGGTCATATCCTATTATTCTTTTTTTCCTGTAATTGATAGAATTGGGTGTTAATCAAACTCTTGACTCCAAACGTCTCTAACTCAGAAAGTTAACTCTTCCCACTAATTTTGTAGCTTTAAGTTTTGTCCTTAACATTTTTAGTGTTTGATCACTTAATACTGTCTTTCATCATGAATGAATTACCATAACACAAAAACGAAACAAGAGAAACACAGAAATGTTGCAATTGAACCACAGAATTGCTGTGCTGGATGCAGGTGCATATACCGTTGAATTAGCAAGGTTTACCGCAATCTAGCTCTCAGTGGGAAACCTAAAGTTTTACCTAAACTGGCAAAATATTTACAAAGTTTTCACTCCAGTAAATTTTGGCTCTGCTGACAGGCAACTCTTGGAGAGTTTAGTGAAGAAAAGACCTTAAAAAAGTATTGTAATTTCCTCTCTAAGAGGAATTCATTTCATATGGGTATTACAATGGCAGCAATTAAGGAGCCCTGGAAAAAAATTAAATGCACCAAAATGATTAAGGCGGCGTAGGGCCATTTATAATAATGACATAGTCTGCCAAGAACCTGTTTGGGCTTACTGTGTTCAGATGAGACAGCAACTCCCAATGCCAGAGCTGGGTGTAAGCAACCGCAACCAACCATCAGGTGCTGGCGAGATAGTTTTGACCATCTCTTTCTGGAACTGGCTTGGGAAATCTCCAAAATCCACTGCTTCTTTCAAACGTTTTAAAGGAAAAAAATTATCAGGAAAAAAAGAGATAAAAAGAAGCTTGTTTACTTGGGTATACTAGTTAACTGTACTGGTTCAGCTATTTGCCAAGGCGAAAGAAGCTTGGAAACTACATCATAATTCCTTCTGTAAAGCAAAGGTGAATCTTTTTGTTACAGCCTGGAAATAACTCTCTTTCAGCAGCCCTAGGGAACACAGCACTGTGATGCTCTGTTGTTGTCCTCCTCAATGAGCAGTGCTGTTACTTAAAGAGTACATACTGGATGAGACTACAATTATTATATAAGC